GGAGAGGGAGGACGGGACTTGGCTGGTGGGGAGAGAAAAAGAGAGAAGAGCCTGAGGAGGAGAGAGGCAGATTTTGAAAGAGAGAGAGCGTTGCTTTAGGAGTATTGGAGAACGAACATCTCTTTTTCCCCCTAAACACTGCAACATTTCTTTCTTTGGCCCTATTGCACATTTGTTTTCAGATCTACTATACTGCAGCATTCTTTTATAGCTTTGGCAGAAGGTTTTTGCCTTCCGGGTACTGGTTTGCTAACTCCATGGAGGGTTGTAAGGATTTCGATGTTGATGTCATTCTTGTCAATCAGTATTCGCCGTGACATGCCTTAAAGAAGATGGGAAAAGGAGAGGGAAGAAGAGAGAACGGGAGGTGGGGGGAGGGGGGCGGATCATAACTTGGGATGAGCACAGAAGAGACTGTAATGGAAGGCTATAAAAATAAAAAATAAAAACGGAAAAAAAAAAGCAACCTAAAAGGCTAAAAGAGAAAAAAAAACAAGAATTAAAAAAAAATAAAAACACCTGCCTTTGCCTTCTGCTTCCATGTTATCCCCCGTTGATAGAATGAGGAGTCCGAAGAAACCGATCTTCCGCTGCGTTCTTCAGAAGTCCTTAGATTGATACTCTGGTCATCACAAGACACTGCTCTGACTACTGAGGACTCAGTCTCCTGCTTTGCACCAGCAACTGTACCCAGCACTTTCTTAGAAGCACGGCCACTTCTGAGTGTGTGGGATGGCCTCTCACATGCTGAGCGACTCACCTTGGCAGCCATGCTTGCATTTCTGGCTGGCGAAATGAAATCTTCGCTGCGTGCAAACGATGCTCTCACCGCCCTGCCTGCACTTTTTGCTCGCCCAAACAACTGCTCGTTGGAGGCAATTGGTACTTTCGCGGCTCTGTATGCATGCTTTGCTGGGGCAGTTGATTGCTCATTTGCCGCGTCCGACACCTTTCTAGCCACGCAAGCACTGTTGGCAGCGGGAGTTGGTTCCTCCTTCTCCTGAAGTGCTCTGAGCAACTTGATATGCCGCTGCAGTTGGCGTCCATCTCCTTCTCTGTGACTTCCCGACTGTCCAATCACGCCACATTCACGCTGCACCTTTTCCTTCACCGGTGTTTTTGTCCTGAGGTTCTTGTGATCTGTCGTTGTAGAATTGTTTCCAGGTGCTGTAGGAATGCTAGCATGGCCCTCTACTTCGGCTATTCGTCCCAATACTGCTTGTTCCTCTGCTGCCATCTGTGTGGATACTCGCTCACTTTTTCGCCGCGGTTGCTTCCGAGTGCGAACATCGTTATCAGTCTCCGTTCCTACTGCCATGCCAGCATTGTTCTTGTCTTCCGTCTTCAAGGGAGATGGTTCCGCTGCTTCTGCTCGTACGGGTACTTGCTCAGTTTTCTGCTGGCACTGTTTTCGGGTCGGCGTCGCATTTCGAGGTTTTGCTCGTGTATGTCTGACCGTATCTGGCGTTGTGCCTGCCATGTCACCAGTGCTCTTATCCCTGGCATGAGCCCCTGACACATCAGTGTGGTTGTCCTCATCCCTGGTGGCAGAGCCTGCAGCAGAAGCATTGTTGTTTTGTGTGGATGAGCCAGAGGTGTTCACATGTGCTGAAAGAGAAGCCAAGTCAACAGGGCCCCCAATCCTTGCTTGTTCCAGTGTGTCTCTTCTCTGCGAACCTTCGTGAGCTCTGACATTTGCCAAAGTCTCCCCAGCCAAGCCAGACAGCGCATTATACGAATCTGGCGATGGCGTCGGTGGACACTGCAGGAGGATCGATGGGTTCTGGATGTTTCCACTCACATCATGGAACGGCTCTCTTCTGGTTGTGATGGAGTGATCGATGCTGCCTTCATCTCCAGGACTCCTTAGCGCCCCAAGTTTCTCTGCTAGGTTCCCGAAGAGTACTGCCCTCTGTGTGTCCCTTCTGACATCCATAAAATTCCCCGCACTGGAGCCTCTGTGAGAAAACAAAAACTGCCTGTCCTTCTCCTGCAATTGCATTTCCCGGGCAGCATCACCCTCACCTTGACATCGGCGGTCTAAAATCGCTTCATCCTCACACCTATTTGTAGTATCTCTGCATTGAGAATTCCTTCTGCGCAGGAGTTCATCAGTACCATTGTGCAATGATAGTGCATTTGTAGTCTCTTCTGCTTTGGATTGCTTGTTAAGCTCACTAGCATGCCTGTTTACAATGCCTTTGTTCTCGTGCCCTCTTCTTCTTCGGACCTGATGCATCTTCCTTGATGATGCAGAGTGAGCCAACTCTGCTAAGCCCACAGATTGATTGCGAGCTTTTCCTGTATGCCCATCTGTCATGTTGCTGAATTGAGAGCATCGGCTCTGAGCTTCACCCATAACATTGGCTGACATCAATACCGAACGGGAGTCTTTCCCTGCTTTCGCATGTTCAGCACCTTCAGACTGCCAGCTCCCTGTGTCTCTGTGCAGAGCGCACTTTTCCCTCCTTGCGACCTCGTCTGCATTACTCATGGGAAGTGACTGCTGCTCTGCTTCGTCAGATTCTGGAGGCTTGCTACCCTGCTATGGCACAAAAAAAGGGATGTGAGAACAACAGGGGGAGGGGGTGGGGGTGGGGGGGGTTCCCGGCGGAAAGAACACGGAAAAGAAAAAGAAGTCGATGGATCATTTAAATTCCATTTTATTGCCAAGTCGTCGGACAATCTTTTGCTCGAGGTAGGGGGATACTACACGACGTTCTGGACCAGGTCATTACTGCACGATTCCAACTGGTTTCGACCGCTTTTGATCTGTTTACGCACAGTTGCATGCGTGTGCCATTGACTCATCGCCGTACACGAGGTCTTCACCACTGTCGCATCCAAATTCGACTCAAAACTTCATCTGTTTATCATTAGCTAATCTGCATCAGATGTGTATACCATTCAGCCACCAGGAGTATGGAAGGAACTGCTCAGTACTTCACAAAACAAATGAAATTGGTTTCCACAACTTTCCAGACACCAGAGACTACCGTCTTCACCTGAATAGAGTGCCCGGTCATTATCCCTGTATTTGGGGCAACTTTCGGTCCAGGTGCAGCGATAACAACCGGGCGTTCTATTCGGGTGAAGATGGTAGTCAAGCTTCCGCTTAAGGCTTAAGATTACCAAAAAAAAAAAAAAAAAAAGGGCGCTATCGACTCTATGGACTCCTTCACCATTTCTTACGTGTTTCTACAGAGAGTGTTTTCCTCCTGTCAATGCCACTGTGAAGGTCATGGCTAATTTGCGCTTGTCAAAGCTGCTGATAATAATGTAGTGGTGCTCGCCGTGATATATTAAGTGCATAGTAGCATACCATCGCGAACACTCCGCAGGTAATCCACTCGGGGACAAACAGACCACTGAACTGCATAAGGCGGGAGACTTTTGAGCTGTCCCACCATCAGCAGTCAGGGACAGGCAGTTACTGCACTAAGACATTTCGCCATTACGTTATCAAGATGCATGCCCGAAAAGGGGTAAAGCAGGGTGGCAGAGCTAGAATGACAATACTAGACGGCACAGGAATTAAACAGGGGCAGATCAGTGCTGCATCCTTCTGGAGAGGAAGTAATCAATGCCGCTGTCTCAGGTTCTCCCGGTCATAACGGGGAGAGGGGCATGCGTGAGTTCCATCGTCGTAAGGGACGCTGGACCTGGTTTCTAGCTGTTATAGTAAAACCACGACCTTTTTGGGAAAGAAAAGAGAACCATGCATATGCTTGAAAGCACCAGTGCATGGCCCCAGGCAACTTGAGAATTGAAATCGGCTCATTCCGAAAACCTGGGAGGCTCGGGGCAACCAGACCAACATGGCTGGCAGCACGAGCCAAAACAGGAAAAAAAAGTTCCGCGCTGGCATTTTGGCAAAGCACGATGTGCAGGGGGAATCCACCTTGTACAAAAGAGGCTCGGATGTACTGGACCTTGAATGCAGCCTGAAAATGCACTCAGGGACAAATGGTTGCCTCACCCTAAGAATGACGACTAATTCGCCCACACCTCACTCCATGAGCATGAAATTCGCCATGAATGCGAGCACTGCAGGATGAGAAGAAGTGTGAGAGAACCGTGTAATTAGTGGAAGGATGATCTGTGGCTTGATGATTGCCCCACGTGTAGGCCATTATAGTGCTGTGGCAGTGCTGTCTTAAGGAGAGCTGTAGACGTCCTGCGGAGGGTCCCGTCCAAAGGAGGAACATACCCTCAATTGGGACATCTTTAAAGTACCAGTACATCCAAGCCTCTTTTCAACATGGCGGATTCACGCTTCATGTCAAGCGGCGCCGAACGGCCAGTGGTGCACTTTCTGTTTTGTATCTTGCACCGCCAGGCGGTGCCAGCCATTTTGGTCCGGTGACCCCGGGCCTCCGAACTTCTTGGAACGACTCATTTTCGATTCACAAGTTGCCTGAGGCGATGTTGCCTGAGGCGATGTACTGACGGTTTAAGGATACAACTTGGCTTTGGTGCCTTTGGTGTGGCCCGGACACTTTATAGATGCTACCTGTTGCATTCAAGAGGCCCTTAAACCGCCAGCAGTACATCGCCCAGGCAAACTTGAGAATCGGAATCTAGCTAATCCGAAGGCTCTGGGCTACTGGACCAAAATGGCTGGGCGGCACCAGTCAAAAGAAAAGAAAAAGCGCAATTCTGGCATATCGGTGAAGCTTGGCGAAGAGGGGGAATCCGCCTCGGCAAAAGGAGGCCCGGATGTACCTGTGGTTTAATGAAGTAAGACGGCCGAAAACTAATAATTTATCTAACAAATCAGAATGTCAAAATGCAGTTTAATGATTTGCCCTAGCAAGATAGGACATCGCCTTAAACTTTCTGCTACAGAAAGTCCGGAAATCGTCCCCGAGTACCATCATCCTGCAGTGTTTTAGCTATGACAATTAGGACGCGCCTCTTCTCATGCGCCATTTCTGAAACAGCCACTTGTTATGCTGCATTGTTCCCATTCTGCCCATGTGGCTGAATGGTACATGCACATAACTGTTAGCAAACAGCACCTGAGTTTGAGTCCCGGTGGAATCAGTCGAATTCAATAAGGTTATGGGCCACCATATTTGCTACCACCTTCTTATTCGGGGAAAATTCTGCTTCCACTTGTGCTTGCATGTGTCTTTGTACAGTTGAAATGACGGAGAAACAAAGACGAAGGCTGAACTTTGTCGCAGGTCCCAAGGGGACCAAGGGTGGCTTTTGTGCCCTCTGCTTGCCAGGAATGCAAAATTCCCATTTTCACGCTGAATCCAGGCACCACCAAGCCCTGCAGTGGTTTTCGACCGACGATGTGAACAAAAGATTCTTCTGGAGTACAAGCATAAGTCATCAAAGAGCTGTGGGTGGACCATTAGGACATCCATCAGAGATAGGGAACGCACATCAGGATTAGCATGGGCACAAGGCGGCCTGCACTCGCCTTGTGGCTGAATGGTACACACATCTAGCTGTTGTCGATAAACAGATCATGAGTTCCAAATTCTGAAATCCAGTTGTTGTTGTTGTTGTTGTTGTTGTTGTTGTTGTTGTTGTTGTTGTTGTCATTGCTGTTGTTTTTAAAGGAGTTTTTAACTTTTTAGTCCGAACCCGGGTCTGTATTTCAACAGTTAAGGGGTGTACCAACTGAGCTACCAGTTGTTAAAGTTCGATGGAAGATGGTAGAAGAAGGAGCTGTAAAGCTCTATCCAATAAAGTTCTGTGCTGCAATGGGACGCAGGGGGCTGTTTCCAAAAAGTGCAGCCATGCAGTAGCCAGCTGAGGGGCTGAGGAAGTGTGATGCTAAGGGGCACAATAACGAAGCAGTTAGCAAAGAGGAAACTACCTAGTCCAGAAACTGTAAAGCGCCATTCTTTCTGTATTGCAATGGGATGCTGGACCCGTTTTCCAGTAGGTGCAGCTCCCCACCAATAGATGGAGCCTTCAAACCGGGAACCACTTAGGGAGGATGCTCTTATCACCTCCCTAAGTGGCGCCCAGACCGAAGCTTAAAAAAAAAAAGGAAAAAAAAAAGAGGAGGTTGTGGGTTCGATCACCATGACGAACATTCTCCACAAGCCTGGGGGCATGTACTGGCGGTTTAATTCACCCGCTAGAGCACATGGATATCCTACTTAAATCTTTGAAACAACTCCGGCAGTGTCACACTTTGGGTTTCGAAAGGGCAAAAAAACAAACACGTGTGGGCAACAACATCGGGTGCGGAGTTTGAAAAGGGCAATATCGGTAGGAAACTCCATGAGTTAGTTGGCCTTCAATTGAAGGTAACTTTGTCTTACGAAACCCATTTGGAAAAGCAAAGCAAAAAAAATACAAAAACGATTCGGGAGCAAGGCTGTATGAAACACAGTTGCTGGAAAGGAAAACCACACAAACAATTAACTTTTAGTTTCAAAAAGAAGCTCCTTTTACCATTTCTGATGGGATATATGGCTCTCCATTCTTTTTAGCTACTGGATTCCATGGCTTTCATGTCATCGTAGGAACCATTTTTCTTATTATATGGTTGTGTTTGTCAGTACATGGGTCATTTTACTCGAAGACACGCTTGGTATTCGCATTTTGTTGATGTGGTTTGGTTATTTCCATTTGTAGAATCTTGCTATTGCAGACGCGGAGGGGAATCTCTTTTCAGTTGCCAACAAATCAGGAAATTTCGCCCGCGCACCCAACAAAGCCTAGCTCAGTGGGTACACCCACGAACTGTTGAAATACAGACCCGAGTTCAAATCCAGATGATGAAACTTATGAGGACATTTCACCTGCAAATGGAAAATCCAAAGGGGCAGACGACAAATCCGCCACTTGGTGGGTTAAACAGGGGCAAGGAAAAAAAAAGAAAAAAAAAAACACAGTGGAATGGAAAATGCTGGACAGCTTGACGGAAAAAACTTGAGGGTCCACACAGACAGGTTGGAAAAACACAGACATCGGCTGGCCACAGCTATACCAGTAGATGGGTCGACATTCTTCGGAAACGACTAAGGACCACATGATTTGTGCGAGCACTGTGAAAGAAAAGAATGAACCAGTTGAAGACTTGAATGAACCTAAAGAAGCAGTAACGTGAGCCTGGCATCTCGCGGGAACTTTCTCCAAAAGGAGAAGTCTGTGATGGTCCACTGACCCGGATTGGGAGTACAGGTGGTGTAAAAGATACATAGTTTTGGGGGCCTCCCCGGCAGCGAATGGAAGATGGATGTCCTTGGAACAGGATGGGCAATGCCAGAAATGCCTGCAGGATAGAACCGTCTTCCCCCGAACATAACGCACCCTGATAATGAATGTATAGAAGCCATCTTTCCGGTCCGGTACATGCAAAATGAGGATGCGTTATGTTCGGGGGAAGACGGTAGGTCTTTGTTATGAGCTACATATCTAGGACAGGCTATGCCCTCCGTTCCAAGGCGTCCACGTCATGGGTGAATGTCTGGAAGAAATGAAGGGGAAGGGAATAGGCCATACAATGACCTTTTTTAAGCACAGCATGGGTAGGCTTCTTCATTTCTCTGTTATTGGGTACCCTTGAGGCGAAGCTTGGAGGCTTTCAGTGACTTTATGTCCGTTTATGTGTCCCAACGGCCTCTTTTATTTCTTGTTTAAACTTTAAAGCCCTTTCGCAATTCTGCTATCCCAGCGGTGGTAGGAGAACCGCCAGAATTGAGGGCTTGGCCAGCGGGCTGCTGCTCCATCTATTGCTGGGGAGCGGCGCCTGCTGGAAACCGGGTCCAGCATCTCTTGGATACAGCAATGCCATGTCATGTGTCGGGGTCACAGCCACTAGTCATGTAGTCATGCACCCATAAGGGAAATGAATATCAATATTTTTTTCCTACCAAAAACAAAAACAAAAAGGAGGAGGTGTCAGCAGAGAAATCAGTACCTGAATTGTTGACAGCAGCAGGCCCATGTTGGCTAGCTCGTGCTCAAGTGCAGCTTCTTCTGCAAGGATCTGTGCCATCATCTCATGGCTCTCCTGGAGCTTCTGTGAAACACAAGGCAAGAAGTTTGCAAGGCACCTCTCAATCTTGTAGTCTCTGTGAGCAGCAGGATCCCATAGGCTGCAAGAAGGTTTGAAAACACCAGTTGAGGCCACCGGTACACCCTGACAAGGCTCTTGCCCTGCACCAATTGAACCACCAGGACTTGGCCCAGCTATTGGCCGCGGAAAAAAAAAAATAGGGTAGAAAGTACTAGAAACATTTCTAGTCGCGCTCCTGTAGTGGCCCGTACATTTCCTAAAATTGTGGCTTGTTAACGGGCACGACTTTAGGAGGTACTGGTGGTTCAAGACAGGGCCGCAGTGCGGTTCGACCGTTCCTCGACCTGCCAGGGGTTTAAACCAGCCACATATGTGTGCATGTGTGTGAGCAATTTTATGCACATGTGCTCAGCCTTTTTTTTTTTTTTTTCGGCCCGACCTGCCTTAATCGCACAAGATTTGAACTCTTGACCTGTGCAACAGTAGGTTTGGAATGCATTACCATTCAGACACTTCTTTTTATCTTTTTTTTTTTTTTTTTTCCCTTCCCTTTCCCTCCCCCCCCCCCCCCCCCCCCCCCCCTTTTTTCTTTTTTTTTTTTTTTTTTTTTTTTTTTTTTTTTTTTTTTTTTAAATCACTAAGAAAAGATATCATCGTTTGAACCTACCGGCCCGAAGTCTGTCTCTTATACACATCTAGATGTGTATAAGAGACAGGTACTTAGGTACCAGGAGGCCGCCTGTTCCCAGCCATTTCTTCCTTTTGCCCAAGGGACCT